TTTAGAGGATCATTCTAAAGCTTGTACTGTTGAGCCAACCACTGCTCTCATTATGCTTTAATTAATCTCTCCACTCTGGCCATGCTATGCTTTCCGATCTGGAAAAGAGTAACACGAAACAAAACAAAACAAAACCCCTTGATTTTTCCTGAATCGATTAAGATCCTTTCCCACAAAACAAGTCCCGCTTTCCTTGGGCATTTGCTACTCTTAGCAAAGGCTTTTCTTACTGGTCCTCATTTTGATACTTGTAATGGTCCATTTTGAGTTAATTTGAGATGTTGACCTGGTGAGACTATAATTCTCCGTGGTTTGGCCAGAGATTGGACTAGTTGATGAGATGTGATGTGATGTCATTGAATACAAGTGGTATGACAGTGGTAGCATCATGTGATCGGGCGTGATCAACTAATCAGTTTAAAGCAAAGCTTCCTTAGGGGTGTGGCTGGCAACTAGAATATAAATGTAGGTATACTGACAGATAGAAACATTCTTTGAGAGTTACTAGGGTTGAGGGTGGGGTGGGAGGGAAAATCACTAATTTAGGTGAAAGGAAAAGTAATGCAGTCAGGAGGAGTTAATCCGGACAAGACTAAGGCAAAAGATGACATGGTGGTATGCAAGGATGAAAGGCAACACCTGGCAATAATATTCACATACACAACCCTGCAATCACAGACAATAATCTACTATGGATACAAAGGTAGATGTGTAAGTTGAACAGGTGTGCAATGACATGGGCGTACACCCATGAACATGATGTTTGGCAGACAATACTTCAACATGGTTTTGCACAAACAGATCTAGGTATATGAAGCTAAGTCAAAAAGTATTGCTACAACATCACTAAAACCTTTATCAGACAAAACTATCTACAGTGAAACTTTGGTCTCCAGCTAGGTCTATGCCCCTCTGGAAGCAGTGTGTCTGTGTCTCCAACATTCCCTGAATAATTCTGTACTTTTCGCAGAATATATTTTCTGTACACCGCAGTGCTGGCACCCTCAAGGGACGCAAATCATGCGCCTTTTACATGTTGTTTGAATCTGGGGGCTGAAAAGAAGTCTGAAGAAACAAGATCAGAGCTGTAGGGTGAACGGGAGAGGGTTTTCCAACACAATTCTGATAGGACTTCCCCGGCTACTCTCAAGGAACGCGCAGGTATACCGCTGCCATGGGAACAACATGCCTTGCGGCAGCGTTCCCAGTCTTTCTCTCACCATGTGTTTGTGCATTTTCTTAAGACTTCTTCATCATAAGTCCTACAGTTTCCTGAGTCTGTGGAGAAGATCGACCACAACAGGCCTTTGGAGTCCCAGACGCAAACCATCATCTTCTGAGCTGACAACTTTGCCTCGAATTTAACTGGCCCGTAGCTCCCCTCAGAAGCCACTTTTTGATTGAATCTATTTTTGACAGCTCCCTAATGAGACTACGATAAATATGTCACTGAGAGAACTTGTCTGTAGCCATCCACTGATAGTAGAGACATGCATGCATACATGTTTGTACCCAGTCTGGAATAAACTCACGCATGTATGAACAGGTCACCTCTGTAGCAACACTTTTTGACTTACTGTGTACTGGTGGCGCATACAAGGGCCAACGTTATGTAAACATTTTACTTAGTCGTAACCAGACACTTTAAAGGCTGGCGGGCGGGGACCACTGCTTTAGCAGCCGTCTAGGTCAAACGGCATAATAGTCCACACGGACAATCTTCTTATGCTACTCTGGAGGAGTGGCTGGGGTCTTAAAAATGCGTGAGAAGCCACAGCCAAACTACAGCTGGTCCACTCACATCCAGGACCAAGAATAGTGGGGACAATCAAAGGCTCAGGATATAATTAATCCAAAAAATGAATGGACCAAATGAAATACAACCTCCACTGGCCTGGGAGCAGAAGAACTAGATGGTGTTCGCCACAATGACTACTCTGATCTGGATCACAATACGAACTTCTTGGTCTGTGAAAGGTTGGTGGAGCCTCCAAGACTATGGCCCTTAGGTACCCGTCAAACCTACAAGTGAGCCGACTCTCTCTTGCTTCAGCTAAACCATACACAGGCTTACAGAGTGAACGCTAACACCATGAGGACAGTGCTCAAAACACTCAACCTTAGAAAGGAAAGAGCTGCATTTTCCCCAACACAAAGTTGAGGAGGCAGGAAGGTGTGGTAAAGATGGGCTAACGACAACTGGGAACTCAGGGAGCACGTGGGAGGAGCGCTGGCACCTGGAGGGGTTGAGAAGAATGTCACAACACAAGATGTGTATAAACTGTTGAGTGAGAAGCTAATATGCTCTTATGCTCTGTAAACTTTCTTAAACCAAAATAAAATGCTTTAAAAAAGCGTGTGTGTGTGTGTGTGTGTGTGTGTGTGAACATTCTGGCAGAGCTCTCTCTTTTGATCCTGTACTCCCCTCATCACCTGACCGATGGATCTTGGGACCTAAACTTGCAGAAGTTTCCAGTGGTTGCCTGGCTTCTGGATCTTGGAACAGGCAGCAGAAGTTTCTGGACTGCCACCTCACCTATCCATTTTGGACCTGCCACACCCACAAATGCATGAGCTAATTCCTTGAAATATATATTTCTCTTTCTCTAAATATTTATATTTAGATATAACTCTAAACCAAACACTGCCACTGAGTCGCTGCTGACTCTCTAGGACAGAGTAGAACTGCTCTGTAGGTTTCCACGGCAGTTAGCAGCCCAACTTGGAACCACTATGCCACCAGGGCTGCTTAAATACCTCACTGGTTTTGCTGCGCTACAGAACTCAAACTAAGGCGGCACTTACGTCATTCGTCATACTGCTTTGCATATACATGAGATCTCCCCAAATAAACTTTAAATGGACAATGAGCAATAGCCTCTTTTAGGCCCTCACACAGGCTCTAGCACAGCTGTACCCACACTATTTGAGTAAAGGGATGGCTGGTTGAGTAACCTATCTACTAATGATAGGCGCCGAAGGAGGCGTGGGGGGGAAAGCATGTTGAAACCAAGATACATGCCCCCTCCCAGGAGGACGGACAACAGAAAAGTGGGTGAAGGGAGACATCGGTCAGTGTAAGACATGAAAAAATACTAATAATTTATAAATTATCAAGGGTTCATGAGGGAGGGAAAAAAATGAGGAGCTGAGACCAAGGGCTCAAGTAGAAAGAAAATGTTTTGAAAATGATGATGGCAGCATATGTACAAATAAATACACTTAACACAATGGATGGATGGATTCTGATAAGAGTTGTAGAAGCCTCCAATAAGATGATTAAAAAAAACCAGATACATGCTCCATAGTCCATGTTCTCAAGTGCAGGTTCCACACACCTCCAGTACTGTAGAGAGAAAACAGCATCTCTGAAAATCCCAGCTTGTACTCACCGACTACCAGCTCACGAACATCTTTCCAGTGGAGCTCACTCCCCCTCTCATGGGTGATGGTCATTGTGACCCTCCGCTGGATGCCCTAGGTAATGAAGTGGGTGCAATTTAGCTGTGGCAATCTACCAGTTTCTCTTGTTTTTGTGTTTGGAACTTTCTGGTGAATAGACATTGGGGGACAGGCTGAAGAGAAGGGTATTTAGAGAGATGGGTAATGCTGTCCACCCTGTGATTATACACAAAAGGAAAGGAGGCAGGGCCAAGTTGTGAGATGGCTTTCAGGTCAGACATTCAGGTTGTATGTTCCAGAGCATAGGCCCCACCTGGGATAAGTCTTTCTCAGCGCTGGCTGAATGTACTTTTGGTTTACCAAACAGGTAACCACATTTTCAGTCCACTGAAATCTTTCCCTTCTCTTCTCATTAAGGACTTCTGTTTGTGATAAGAGTGGTACAAGCCCCCAATAAAATGATTTTTTTTAAAGGGAACGTGTGGCTGTGAAAGCACTACGCTTCCAAATATCAATAAAACTGCACAGAAGTGGCACAAATTGTAACAACTGAACGGAAAAGAAAAGCATGCTTTTTTCAAAACAACTCTTCTGTAACATTTATATGTAAAGCAATATATAACAATATGCGTAAGTAATAATCGGAGGAAGAAACAACGGCACACACACACACACACACACACACACACACACACAGAGATAAAAGGACAGGCTGATAGGGCAGTAGCCCCCAGGCTCCCATAGGACAGAGAGGAAGAGCATGAAGGGACAAGACACATCTATCTACAGCAGGGTCTTAGAGCAACACCCACGAAAGCAGGGAGAACTATAAGAGAAACAGAAAGAATTACAGTTCTTATTCTAAACCATTTTGGTTCCCTCTTTTGTCCCTTTATTTGTACCTGGTGAAGTAAAAATGTCCCCTGGCAGGGCAAGCCTGCGGTATGGTCAACCACAGCTGGGATGTACCTATAAAGATAAAAAAGTAAAAGAAGCCGTTATTAGGATGCTTACTGCAAACTAAATTCTACTCCATTTGCAAGATCTTCCCAGGTTGCTACAGCCCCACCTGACTGGTAGAACCCACTATGTACACTGCCTTCTCACATGTCTCCACATGGGTTTACCGCTAACTTAAGTGCGAGCACTAAGGACGTCTCTATGATGCTCCCAAGTCATTATACTGGATAGTCAGTTTTTTAAGACACATCTTCTCAAAGAATTATATCAATTCAGAACTGGAATTTGACAGTGGAAACAGTTCAAAAGTTTGAATACAGGGAAATTCAAAATGGAATTTTCTAATTTTGAAACACATTAGCTTGTTTAAAAATAGAGGGAGTTGAACTTACTCTCCTGTGGGCTCCAGTTCACTGATCTCGAACCAAACCAAAAGGTCATATTTGCTCATGCTCTGGCCAAGGCTGGTTTTGCTCATGGTGTTTAACTTGGTGGCTGGAACTTTTAAAAAAATTTAGAAAATGTCAAAATCTAATCCCAGTATATTCAGAAAAAGTATAAGCCTAGCTATTATCAAGTCTTCAAGAACACCCATGGGAAAGGCAGAGAGTCAGGGGACAGATTAAATGCAGAGAACCCAGAGACATCACATCAACTACCTTGTACCTCAAGAACATGGAAAACGGAGGTCAATGGCTTCCACCTGCACCACAAGCTGCACCCAAAGATGAGAAGCCAGAGTATTTGTGTTCATAAAACCATTAAAAATCCTCCCCATTCTAGAATCGCAAGTTTGTGGCATGAAGCTAATAAGTAAGACTCAGTGCTTGGAAAACACGGACTACTGCCTCCTGCCGGGCTCAATAGCATCTGGTGTGGTGGAGTACCAACCACACTCCCATCTGCCTACACATGGCAGTCATCGGGGGTCTTAAAGGTGACACGCCCAGGCCACACTGGACCAATGCAATCACAATCTCTGGGGTGGGCTCAGGCCCTGTGATTGTTGCCTCCCCCAGGGAATTCCAGAGTGCAGCCAAATCTGGGAACCACTGGTCTGTTGTAAGTAAATAAACGTGTACTTCACACTTTCTTCATATTTAAAGTTCATCTTCTTACTTGTAGTGATGAAATAAAGCAGGCCCCAAATCTAAGATTTCTAAGAATTTCATATTCTTGAAATAGTACCTAAGAATCCTGATGTCTAGCAATGCGCAGGGAGTTTTCTACTCAGAACTCATAAGAAGTGGAGTGAGTACTTAGGATGTCTGACTTAGGATGTAATTACTGTTCAAACGCTAACTAGCTATGCGTGACTTCAGACAAGTCACTTCACCTCTGTGAGTCTGTCTTCACTATAAAATGCTGATGATTGTATTTGGGCTCCTATCTCACTGAGGTATCACATAGATACACTGACATAGGATGTATAAAGGGGCTTATGAATCATATTAGGAGCTGTCCAGTCAGTCCAGACTCACAGCTACCCTGTGCACAAGAGAACAACATACTGCCTGGTTCTGGGCCATTCTCACAACTGTTGCTCTTAGTCCATTTTTTGAAGCCACTGTGTAATTACAATCCATTTAGTTGAGGGTCTACCTCATTTTTACTGACTACCTCATTTTACTTTACTGAACTGGTTGGTCCTGATAATATGTCCAAAGTTCGTGAGAAGAAGTCTTGACATAGATGAATCATATAGTTAGATTAAAATGCCTATGGTAGCATAGTGGTTATGGGTTGGGTTGTTAACTGCAAGATATGCAGTTCAAAACCATAAGCTGCTCTGTGGGAGAAAGATATAGCTTTCTTTCTATTCTCTTCAAGAGCCTTAAACAGTCTTGAAAACCCACAGGGGCAGTTCCACCCTGTTTTGTAGAGCTGCTATGAGTTGGAATTGACTCGATGACAGTGTTTGGGTTCTATCATTATTATCCAAAAAAACAAACCAAGCTCACTGCTGTCAGAGTCACCAATGGCTCATAACAACCCCGTATGGGTTTCCGAGACGGTAAGATTTACGGAGTAGAAAACCAGTCTTTTTCCCTCAGAGCTGCTGGTGGTTTCAAACTGCCGATCATGAGATCACAGCCCAACTCGTAACCATGACACCACCCGGACTCCTCATTATTCTATACCTGAGCTCAATTTCACATGAGCTGGTGCTGCCACTCAAGAAGAAAATTGTGTTACTGATTCTGGCAATCATTGAAGGGCCAAAAAATAAACCCACAAGTTTTTAAAAACAAGCAGAATATGTCCATTAGGAAAAATATTTAAAATTAAAAAGAATCAAAGAGCAGAATTCCTTTGTTCCCTGAGTGGATGTAAAAGGCGTCACAAGTAGCGAAGGCACTTGTAAAATCTCTCTGCAGGAAATGCCATGTGATCTTGCTGATGTGCTGACCTGTAGGAAGCCAAGAACCCGGCTTCAGGACAAGCACCTGAGAATGGTTCTACATCTAAGGCAGAGCCGGTTTAGCTACTAACCATCTCGTTTGGGTACCCTCTCGCTCTGGCAGCTGGGAATTGGCAGAAAGAGAAAAGGCGGCAACGGGTCAGCCCCATCCTGGAAGGTGGCAACAGCAGAGGATACAAGCTTGCTGGCGTGCTCAGAAAATGTGTCCAGCACATGCACATTCACATAGTCAGACATGAGAAACCGAATCAGTTCAATCTTTCTCTCATGGTCTGAAGAGAGGATTGGAACAGGAGTAAAGAGGGGGGAGGGCGGGGGGGGGGGCAGCGAATGAGCACAAGGTGGGTGGGAATCGGGCAAGTGGGCAATGAGACAAAAAGAAAAAGGATGAAAATGAACAGAAAGGAAAATCAAAATAAGATCATTGAACATGCAGAAGAAATATAAAATGCAAAGAAATGTTCAGTCCCATGAGTTATGGAGGACTTGCAGAAAGGCTTAAATGCAGGGAGGTATCAAAATCTGCTCCAAGTTTAAGAAGCAAACACACAGACCCAAGGATCAGCAGGGGTAGAGCTCTATTGTCTATACTAAATTAGGTATAAGGAATTCTAGTGAGAATTGCTAAAGACGGAAGAAGAGCAGAGATGTTGTGGTAGTTACATAATCTGTTGTCCATTTGAGACTAAAGAGTGAAAGGGTGGAGTTTAGCCTGTGAATCAGGTTGCAGCTTTATGACCCGCATTTGGAGCCACTGAGGAGATAAACAGCTTGTTGGAGGTGGGGCACACGCTGACTCCCTGTGAGACATGGTTGCTGACAAGACACGTGCAGCTCCGCTAGAGCCCTGGAGCTGAAGGAGCCACATGAAGACCCTTGCCAGAGCTGAGATGCTTCTACTGCCACTGGATCCACAAGACTTTCCACACACTGGCCTGTGATCTTCCTGCATTTGGCATCATTGCATGTGTTTCATGAGTCTGAAGAGGAATTTATAAACTGGTATCGGACATATGGGCTAATATCTGACTTATGGACTTGATTTGGACTGGGCTGGGATATTTTCTCAATATTCAGTTGCTCTTGTATATAAAGCTATTTCTTACACACACGAGTGTTTCCCAGGATTTATTTCTCTAGTCTACCCAGACTAACATAGATGTGAACATGACTCTCCTCTGTCAGGCTATTCAGAGGGAAGCTGTGTTCCCACAGAGACCAGGACACAGGGCACACAGCTCAGGCTCACCTGGCTTGGAGAGTGGCATGGGTGGCGGGAAGAACCGTCGAGATGGCAGGGGCGGACTGAGAAGAAAGGAAGGCAAGGAGAAGATGACAGTCTGTTGTTATTGTGAAAGACATGCTAAATTCCCTTTGGAAACCAATCTTCTGCAATTCCACTCTGCCATAATAGCAGCTTCCAGATAAATCCCCACACTGAAACTAAGGCTAAGACATTTTAGTCATGTCCTCCAATAAGTCTTGGCTAGCAGATGAAAAAATGTTCTGTGAACAGACACTCTGACATCACCATTGTCCTCACCATTAATTTCCTTACCAATTTTAATGATGCTGCTTACAGCTTATGCTTCATAGAGTCCTGAGTCATTAGGAATAATTGTATACACTTTTCATGATAGACTCCGATTACCTCAACTTTCTACCTCATTCAAAGTTTCTACAAAGAAGTGATATTCAAGGTCACCTGAGCAAGATTCAATTTGTTCCATCTACAACTAGTGATTAGGTGGCTAGAGGAAACATAAGGTGATATACCACTCTGTTAAGCACTCTCAATCCCTCAAAGGACTGCTAGCTTTCTGGTAAACGAGGATCTCAAGAACAAGATAAGGCAATCACAGCAGAAATCTTTGCTCCTTCGGTCCAAACCTGTTAAGCTCCTGTCCTTGAAGGTGAAGAGGGTGCTGCTGATAATGTCCAAAGACTTCAAAAACAATGGGCTTGGTTTTGATGTAATCCACAAATGATTCCGTGACCTCCACTGCAATCTAATACAGAATAAAGCCAAACATGATGAGATAAAACATTTATTAGAAGGAAGTACTTATATTTGATTTGTCAATCAATATTGCAGGCATCAGAATGGCACTTCATAGTGCTCAGGAGGTGCTAGGCAGTTTACTATAGGGGCCTCCCATACTCAGATAAGAGGCTCCTTTCTGATTTTCATTCTTTGGGAACTTGTGGTAGTCACCTAATCTGGTGTCAATTTAAGGATTAAGAGTGTAGGGGTGGAGTCTAGGCTGTCAATCTGGAGATAGCCAATGAGACTTCTGTGTGGACATGGTCTTCTCCTGAGAATTCTGGGAAATCTGGTACTTCCTGCTTGGAGGTGGGATACTCTCTGCACACTCCCTGGGAGACATTGAAGAAGACAAGCCACATGGATGCAACCAGATCTCGGAAGCTGGAGAAGCCACAGAGAGTCCCCTGCCAGCACCGAGATGCTTACAATGCCACTGGATCCAAAGACTCTACCCACTGGCTTGTGATCATCCTGCATTTGGCTTCATTGCATGTGTTTTGTGAGTCTGAAGAGGGCTTTATAGATTGGTATCGGACATATGGGCTAATATCAGGCTTATGGCCTTGGACTGGACTGGGTTGCGATGTTTCTCAATGTTCAATTCCTTTTGTATATAAACCTCCCCCTTATATACATATGCATGTTTATGAATTTGTTTCTCTAGTCTACCCAGACTAACACAGAACTTTACCCAGCTTTGGCATTCAAGACTGCCTACAACCTGCCCTGATGACCTCAAACCACACATGGACTGGCTCACTTGGAATCCACCTGTGCTCTTGCCAGTGTGCTTGACGACTGGCCTACGTTGTAGAATGCCTAGGAGGTACTTCTCTGATTTCCACACAACTAAGTAATTTCACACTTCATACTTCCAGGCCCAGCTCAAATAGTTACTACGACATGAAAACCATGTATTGCTGTTGACTATGTTCCAGGTACAATGCCAAGTCAGATACAGCTTTTCTTATCTCTACTCTATCCTTCAGGAAGTACCTCCACCCAACCACCCGTCCCCAACAACAAGAGTCAAGTATCTTTCTATTAATGGAATAACTTCACCTTCTCTCCACTCGGAGCACTGTATGTAATCAATGACCCTTGAAGCCTTTATCTCTGGTTCTTCTGGTGTCTAGCATATGCATTTTGTTCCTTTCTCAAAATTCTAAGTTCCTATTGACCATTCCACAAGGAATACTCATCTGTGATTCATTTATGTGTTTCCTGGAGGTTATTGGCAGTCTCTGTTGGTCAATATTTGTCATATATACATGCTTATATTCACTGACATAGAGAAAACAGCACATTTTGTGCTTGCTTGTGCCTCTGTTAGGGTTGTCTAGTCATCTCTCTTACTTTATGGACTGGGTATGACTGATAAGAAAATGAAAGATGGGCCTATGTAGTACTGAAGATGCTGGACACTAGAACCACCAGGTTTCTCGGAGTTCAAAGTTCATCTGTCATTCCTTAACTTTATGATTTTGGTGAGTTACTTTAAGTTGCCTGATACCTCCATTATCTTCATTGCAAACTGGGGATTATGACAGTATATGAAATAATGGTGAGGATGACGCGAATTAAGACAAATTAAGCATGTGGGATGGTGACTGGGGAAAGTGAACTTCCCACGAATGCCAGCTACTGTAATGATGATGACTTGGTAGTAAAACTTTACTAAGTGATGAGTGTTCTCTTTTCTTACTCCATGTATGAGAGAGCTGTAAAGGACACTGATAAAGTTAATTATAGAATCAGTTGCCAGGAAAATAGAACTCTGAATTCTCATTTAACTACAAAGGTCCTTTCAACATTTTTCTGCAACTGAACAATGTAAGTCTCCTACGGTTTAAAAGACAACATGCTAACTTCAACAAAACTCTTAGGTATGTTTATTTTCCTCGGAAGGAAACATTAAAAACAACTCACTGCACTGGAACTGGTGAAAGATTCTACGGGCAGGCCAACCCCCACTCTAGCCAGTCACTAGGTCCATTGTCGTTCAGATACAGAAGGCAGACTGCTAGACCACCGAGGATGACCTCACTGCCCTCTGGCCGCTCCCTCTATTGTCTATTCTCTCCACACAACCCGCCTAGCAGAGCTAGTCCTCTCAGATTATTTTCTGAAAGGAGCCCACAAACGCCTACGCTTCCTCACACCAGCCACTTCACGGTACCACAATCCTCAGGACATTTGGCAGAAGTGCACGCATCACTTACGTTCTGCACATGATAAAAGCCCAGAGGACTCCCTCTGCCGTTGTTTTTGAGGGGCTCAGTGGAGAAGGCTTCATCATGACGATGTAAAAAGCTTAGAAGAATAAAAAAGACACGTGAATTATGCATTAAACACTTTCCTCGTGATCTCCGTTTTGGATTCAGAAGCATCCGACTTTTGCAGATTCTTTGAGCTGTGTGATTTTACATGTCCGTGTCCCGGGTATTTTCTGACCTGCAGCACTTAGGTTTTGTTTCTCAATTGAAATGACTGGTGGCCCTGCAGCAAGCACTAAGGACTCATTTCTCCAACAGCAGCGACTTCACTATTTGTAAAGACAGAGTTACATGCCTGTCTCCCTTACAGACAGTGGCTCCCAGTCTCTAGGATTTTATTAGTTTGAAATAAAAGTGGGAAATTAAGGAATAGCCAACACAGAATTTTACCTCCAGATAGAAATATCCATCAGAAGGACACATACTGTCCCTCCACCCTCCAAAAAAAATAAGGAAAACAAATTATTCTGAATACGGTACAGGTTTAAGAGATTAAGGTTAGGAACTCCTTGTCATTCAAACAAGTTTTCTGTGTTAGTGGACAATGGCATTCCACATCACTGCTGCCACAGACTGCAGGCACTGCAGCACCCAGCACATGTGCCTTTTCTATTGATATTCTTCTCCTCACTCTCCCTCCTCTCCTCTCCTCTCCTCTGACTGCCACCTCCCCTACACTGTGGCTGCCAGAGGCACCCCATAGGTCTCTGTTGGACCTCTAATCTATATTCCGCGAATACTCTGCCATCGTACGAGGTAAACATACAGATTCCACTGGGACACAGGAAATCAGTCACACAGCTCCATAGCTGTATCTTCCCTGGGCAGAGTTTATGGTTAAAATCCTATGACTATGGGTCTTATTTCAATCATGACCTCCTCCAGCTAGTGATGCTGCCTGCTTCTTAGGTTTCAAGTCATGAGCCAACATACCATTGTTGTTACTTTAGACATCAGTTAACTGAATGGATCTTTCCCATGATTATAATAATAGCATTCTAAAAAAGTGATTCATCCAGCCACCACCATCCTACCCTAATTTTGGAGCTGTTAGCAAAAGCACCTTAATTGGCAGGATATTAGTTGACAAACAGTGACACATTATAGAAAGTTAGTGACTTCCTATATAGTACTGCAGGACGGATACCTCACAAATGTCAAACACTATAGAGTAAGCAAAGACCTGAACAACTGGCATCTCAGTTAGCAGGTAGGCAGGCAGAGCAAAGGTACTGCTTACTTGAACTGGCAGAAGATATCTGCATACTCTGGGAGAATTCCGCTGGCCTGTAACACTGTGACGCGGAAAGTGAAGGCACTTCCCAGCTTCAGGTGGTTGCCGATCTCTTCAGAAAACCCTTCCATGACCATCTTACCATTCAGCAGGGTACTTGACTTCAAATCTAGACAGGATAAAGAGAATGCACACATGGTTTCAGTAACATGCACACTATCTTGCAAAGCGTTCCCAGGAAGTTGGGCATTCTGATGAAAGCAACTACTTCTCTTCCCAAGGGTCAACAGTTCCTTATCGAATGTCCCCTCTCACAGTACATTCTGTCTACGTACCCAAGTCAGTCATTCGGTTGATTTCTTCTGGAGGAGTAATGACCTCAGAACTTTGACCCTGTCCTTCCACAATTCTCAGTTCCTCCAAGGAAAGACCAGAACGAGTCATGGAAACCGAAGAAAAGTCACTCTGAAAACAAGGCAAGGGCAGGCAATGACAAAGCAGTATAACAAGACCGTTTCTCCTGCTGTCCTCACGTCTGTTTATTTGCTCAACAATAATAGGGCTGGAGAATTATGTGGCTCAATGATGAAACATACAACTGTCCTCTAGTTCCTAAATGCTCCCCCCCTCACTCACTATCATGATCCCAATTCTACCTTACAAATCTGGCTAGACCAGAGGATGTACATTGGTACAGACAGCAACTAGAAACACAGGAAATCCAGGACAGATGACCCCTTCAGGACCAGTGGTGAGAGTGGCGATGCCTGGAGGGTGGAGGGAATGTGGGGTGGAAAGGGGGAACCGATTATAAGAATCTACATATAGCCTCCTCCCTGGGGGGTGGACAGCAGAGAAGAGGGCGGGGGGAGACGTCAGACAGTGTAACATATGACAAAACAGTAATAATTTATGAATTATAAAGGGTTCATGAGGGAGGAGGGAGGGTGGGGGGGAGAGGGAGGGGGGAAATGAGGAGCCAATATTAAGGGCTCAAGTAGAAGGCAAATGTTTTGAGAATGATGATGGCAACAAATGTACATATGTGCTTGACACAATGGATGTATGTGTGGATTGTGATAAGAATTGTACGAGCCCCCAATAAAATAATTTTTAAAAATTGTCTGAAAAAAGTGATACAAATAAACATAAATGGTGGTCTTCATATTTTATAATGTTGAATCATTAGATAACATTAGGCATGTTCCATAGTCCATTAAACAGCTCCATTCGTGGTTGCCAGCACCCAGTCACTTTCGGCTCCAGGTAGGGAGGTTAGTCTGCCCTGGTGGAGCTTCTTCTCATAAGCCCATCCCTCTGTCTATGCCCAGTCACAAAGTTCTTCTTTTCCCTGAGAGATTTCTCACCCGATTGAAGTACTCATCATCAAAAGATATCTTAGCTGTTCCTGACTGTCTAATTCCAGAGCCATAATCAGGAGCTTCTTCGTCCGCTAGATAGAAGAAAGAAACACAAAGGCCTGGATGAGACTACACACAGAGAGAGGAGGAGAGCCTGCTACCATCTCAGAAATCCAGTGGGAAAGCGCTAGGGCTGTACTGTTTGAGAATATGACTGTCAGATCAGACATCAGAGGAAAGCACAACACCCACGTTGTAAAGGTCCTTGGTGCTGCTACTCATTCACATTGTCTAACCTCTGCTCAAATGAGACTAGTTAATAAAGGATCAGTTTTACTTTGGAGATTGTCCAACTCTTATCTGTATAATCTTGACAAGATTATATTCAGTAACACACAACAAATAGTTGAAAAAACTGTATTGTGGAAGGGACTTCCATAAACTCAATACCGGTGACTCTTACAGGTTTCCATGGGGAAAAGGCTGAAAGGTCAATTAACACAGCCCAGAGTTTGGAAATGGTCACATTCTTTGCTCAGATCATGGAAATGTGACAAATACGAGTATCTGTGATCATGCATAACAAAATATCAGCCAAAGGGCAAAAACGTAGGCAGGAAAGAATATTGAAGAGTCTTTGTTACTTCTGAAGCTATTGAGACATTAAAAAAACACACAGAAGACTCTTATAAAGTGGATCCACAAGTTGCACTTACTTCATGTTAAAGGAAACGCCTTTATCCAGTAGTCCGAGACAGCAGTAGCCTGCACTAAACGGAGTCTACTTATGATACTTGGGAAAGACAGTATCACAAATGTATCATAAGTATCACAAAAGTATCATAAGCTGGAAAGAAAGCAATTTTGGCTTTCTCTAAGAAACAAAAACATTGCCACCGTTTGTATGTGCAATTGACGTGAGGCCCATACAGAGTTGGCAGGTCTGGTCTCTAGACAAGGAATCTCAAACTCTCATTTTGGAAGAGGGTCACCTACCTGCAATGGCCTGTACAGCCACACGCAGAAATCCCCGCACTTCACCCTTCTCGCTGACAATGGCCACCCTGTGAATCAGGGGCACTGGATACAGCAGATTGCTCAGGTAAACAAAAGCCCTAGAGACAGAAGTCAGGGAGGGGACAAACATCAGAGCATCCTCCAGAGAGAAGCTGCTTTTCAGATTTACTGAGAATATCTTCATGCGTCTGTGAGCTGGCTCCTTCCTGGGTCTGGTTTTAAGACATCCTGTCTGTTTTGTACTCTCACATTGCCTTGATCGGCTTCTTCAGCACAGACAATATATATGACCAAATGCCAATGCAGACGCTTGACAAAGCCATTGACAAAGACCCACTTACACCAAATTACTCTATAAAAACTACTACTGTAGGTAGAAGAGTAACAACTGGAAGTAGACTTTCAAGATGTGGCTTTACAAAGCCTGCTATGTAGGGTAGGGAGAAATGAAGCTCATTAAAGGACTTATTCTTTTAAGGGAAGGAATTATAAAGAGGTTTTGATTTGCCTTTGTTTCTTCCCCAATAGACAAAAGTCAGAGACAAAAGAGGCAGGGAGATGTAAGTGCAATATAAGGAACTTCTTTTCACACTCAGAAACGATGACTGGCCTCAGGCCAGGGGACTGATACAGTAGGAAAACAGACTCATGGGCCTAGAGGCTACATAGCCAGAAATTGCCAGGCAGCAGAGGAGACTCTGGAAGGGCACCCAGATAGATGCTAAGGGAGAAGAGCGCTTCCTCTAAAGAGTTTGCTGTTGCTCCTCGAGTCAGAAATGCAAAACAGCAGGTAAGTTACATGTCTACCATTTTATATTTTAAACGAACTAGCAAAGTCCTATCACATTTGTGCGCTTTTCTTCTTTGATTGTGTTGTATCTGCTTGAGTTTTTAAAAGCAATACACACCGGAGACCATAAAGCTTACGACTGCTCATCCTGCTTGGTGGATGGGAAATGAAATCTAGTTCCCACTGTTACTCCTGCCTCCTTAGGTTATGTCTGACTTCCTCATGCCAGTCTTGCTCTTGGTCTTGTGGCATGGAGAGAAGTCAATCATAACCTAAGGGGGCACATATGTCGGTCTGCTTCTTCTCTTGCTCTGAAATCTACTCTAAAACAAAGAGAAAAGAAAGATGGAGTGGATATTCGGGATGCCAACTCAAATTAATGAAAACAATTCTGAATATGCATTACAGAAAAAATGTTAATAAAACTTTGAAAGCACAAATGAAATAAGAATGAAATGTACAACAAAAATTGCAAGTAAACATTACAGCAGAACAAATGACGTCTGCTTCCCTTTCAGTCTGCTCCAAGAGTAGGGGCAAAACTAAGACATGGAGGGTTAAGCTTTGTGGCTGGAAAATAAAGAAATAAAACATCTTTTGTAAAGGATTAACACACAAGGTTATCCAATATCAACCAATGTCACAGACCACTTTTAATTCCTCGGCTAACACAAAACCTCCACACATGCATGTACGTCCCCTGGAGGTCTCCCTGCACCCTACTGCCCACTCCATGCCATCAAGTCCACATCTTCAGGTCTTAGTTCAAATACCAGATTGTGCCAGGGACCCTCATGTAGTCTGTTCCCAGCAACACGCATGATTCATTCATCACTGCTATAATTTACAGCTACTAGTGAGATCATTTGATTTATGTCTGTCTCCCCACTATGCTGTACATCTGGGGGTAAGAATCCTATCTGGTTTTGCTCAGTACTGTCTGCAGAGAGCCTGGTGTGAAGTAAATATGCTCAGTGAGTATCTGGAGGTGACTGAACACCCATGTTCAAAAGGGAACAGACAGTGATTTGACTTATATGTTTGAGCAGACATAGGCATTTTCCCAGAACGATGGGTTACATCAGAGGTAGAGAAGCAAAAAACCAGCACATTTTGCACTAAATTGATTTTTCAAAATCATATTTTGATAAATATTACTACACGAAACTGGCTTAGAGTCCTAACTATAAAAACAGCTCTTCAACAGCAGGACTCATTCTTTTTAAGAATGCGTGCTACTTAAGGTACTGGGCATCATAATTCACACACAGACATCCCAGTAAAATACAGTTGGAGCAGACATTGAAGGATGAGCACCTTTCTGCTGACAGCAGCAGCAAGTCTAGATGTGAAAAACATGATGTATTCTTGCAGATGTCCTTTATTAGAAAAGAGACTTCTGCAACTCTATGGTAGGAGCAGGGACCACGGAGTAGCACTGGGACTAACAATTGCAGAATCATGTGACAGCTGATAGTTTGCTCAGAATATGGCCCTCGACTCCAAATCCATGCTATATACAAGTTCCCTTCCAAAGCTTTTAAAACTGGAAGTCTCTTGAGAGTCCTGAGACCTTGACCTAGCAGACTGAAGGAGAACAGGGATGAGAGGAGAGAACGCAAAGGATCTATTAGCAGACCGATCTGTGAAGTTACATCAAAAAGGGAAACAAATTTTGTCAACATAAAAGTAAGAAAAATTATGGTGACAGTTACAGAAAGAATTACAGGTACCTTCAAAGGTCAGAGAATAACCTCTCCCCCCCAGCCCCAAATGAACTCATTAGAGTAGATTAAACAGTGAACATTTCTCCCCCACTTCTGATGGATGGTTCATAACACCCCGGCATGCCATAAGAGAATAGCTAAAGGGACAAGCTCTTTTATTTTTCATATAAAGATTCACTAAGGCCAAATAAACAAAGTTTACAAATGGAATTTCACAAGAAATTGGGAAATTTTACAAGTGAATTAATTATATTTGCAATTATGTGCCAGTTGGGGAAAATCCAATCCTCTGAATTGCAAAGACAGGAAAAAAATTTACTTATTTTACCCATGAGCACCACACAATGAGTGATGTTGTATTGTTGTTATTGGTTTTGTTTGTCCATGAGAAATGTACCAAAGGTGAAAATGCAGAAGGGAGAGCTAGCCTTTCTCTTACTGAGTGCTGTCATTCCCTCTCCCCAGCTTCATTCTCACAGAGTGTGAGTCAGTTTAGAATCTGAGGACCCAAACTTATAGGCCGGGCCAACTCAAGAGTCACAGCTCCATTATTTATCTGAAGTTATGCTTTACACCTAAACTTCACTCTAATGTGATCAAAATAAATACAGCCAGAAAGTTTAAACCACAGGGAAATGTAGTAGGTAGATTTTAAGAGCCAGTGAATTTCCACATTGAGACTTTGATTTAAGTTTCCCATACGACTGACTTAAAAGAACAATAAAAGCTCCTGAGTAGAAGCATTAACCAGGGTAGAATTGGAAAGATGCTAGAGATCTTTAAGGGGGTCCCCACCCCCCGTCTGACTCTGCATTTTACAGTCCAGAAGTCAACAGGCTCCAGCTGAAGGTAACAGTTTAAGTAAAAATATCATGACATGCTGTAACAAGGCCTAGAGCTCAAGGCTCCTCCTGACAGTTAGGTCCATGTTCTCTCCATCTACCATGTAAGATGAAGTGACCTGACCTAAAGCAAGCAGCTTCCGAAGTTGTGCACTGACTTCAAAGTAGAGCAGCTTATGGCTACAAGCCTGGTCTCAGAATAGGATGGGCATGAGCTCAAGTACATGGATAGCCATTAAAAAAAGGATGACATTTTTGTCCAATATATTTGTGCATAGAAACTACTTTTTTTCAGCTAATAATTAAAGCAAAGCCAAAAGCAAATTTATTCTAAGTATCTATTTCTGGTGATACAACAAGAGAAAAAATATTCATGTCTATACAATCCCTTTATGCTTATTTGTGGAAAAGAGAATTTTAAATGCTCCTTTGCCACCGTAAAATTCAGAGACTAACAGGACACACACTTGTTAATTGAAACTTGTATTTCTATTAGAAAGTTTTTTTTCTTTCCTTTTTCATAGAAGTGATCATCTTCTGCATCAGTGTGTCTAGGAGTGGGCAATACCACCCCTTGGGGTGCTGGAACAATTCAAGGCGGAGTGGGGGGGGGCTGCAAAAACAGCTTAAACCTGGATTATGGGCTATAAAGTTTTTTAATTGCCAGAGGGGTGTTGAGTAATTTTTTTTAGAAAAGAGGGGAGCAGGCCTAATACATTTGGGAACTATATTCTACATTATTTATTACATTCCTACCAGGTGATCAACATCCAGCTAGGTGCTATGGTTTAGAACTGCAAACCTCCGTCAGCTCAGAAGTTTCATTGCACTTGTTTTAGGTAGTTGGTACTTATCTATCAAAGGATATTGACATATCCTCTTATTTTTAAAGAGTTCAACAATATGGATTCTAACATACCATGACCATTAAATTTAATACCTTAGGGCTTGGAAAAACTTTTAAATTAGTGCAATGAGTGTTGTCGAGTTTGTAACTAAAATAACTTCAGTGTGAAGATCACCTGTAGACAAAGACTCTCATATTAACAACAAGAGCATAGAGAGTTTTGGATCACTGACAAATAGAGGCATTTTCTGAGAGCCAGAGACAATGCTTCCATTGGGTGAACTAAAATCAACATAATGCTGAACAGATCTCCATTGTCAACAGGGTCAATAGACACCTTTCTGTGGTTCTTCACTCTGAAGTCTATAGGTAGTATGTCAGCAGAAGCCAATGACCTGTAGACAGGTTCAATGAAACTAGTCAAAGAAAGGGACACATTTTAGCCTAAGGGGAAACCTGACCTTCCTTTAAGACTCAGCAGATTAATTAAGTAAAAAATAGACCTAACCCTAATCTTGGTTCTACTACTGTCCTTTTGATTTCTACTGATGGTATGGATCCTTAGCCTGCCGTGATCTTGCTCTGCTCTCCTTTCACCGTGTGTGCTCCTTACTCAGACTCCTCTAGAGAAGAAACAGAATGCCATGTTTGGAATGCATTATGCTTCACTCTTAGACATACATATTTTTTCCTCTTAGGGCTATTTCCTCAGAACAAAATCAGGGGCAACTTAAGACAAGGGATTCTCCACTGTAGCCAAATCTTCCTCTGTTGCTGCATGCTATACTGAGTAGACTGAATACCTCACAAATAAGACCCAAGAAAGTCTCTGTCTAGTCAGAGTAGCATTTATAAAAAGCACCTTGAGGCACTGAACCGAGTGACCTTGAATTGAACTAAAGCAAGATTATACAAAATTGCACAAAAAAAGGCCTTTACAGCAAGAGCTGGTCCCTTTTTTGCCTTTCTCACAATAACCTCACCAACCTTCCCACTAAAATGAACCAGGGGGATCGGTCGTAAAACGGGTCATGCCCATCACTGAAGAGATCTGATCCCTCTTCCGTCCCTGCGTCAGAGCCGGTGTCATCCACGAATGCCTCATCATCAAAATCCTCCATCTCATCTTGCTGCTCGTCAGCCAGCTCAGTGATGTCGGAATCGGCCGTGGAAAAAGTGGGGGAGGGCGTGCGGTCGGCAAGGCGCTCATTCACACAGCCGTGGAAAATGGGGGAGCTAGACACCAGGCAACACGACGATTCACACAGCCAGGGAGAGAGGAATAGTTGGTTAAACAGAAGCCATGGGTGCCAACAGGACAGACCCCACTGAGGAACCAACACCACAAAAGCAAGTGGAAAAGCAAAATGATAAATAAGCACAAATCATCTGGATCATACGAAAAGAACAAGGGCAGGTTGAAAAAGTTATGCAAGGGCTGATCCTCAGAATAAGAAAAGCAAAGGAAATACAAAAGTAGACTATTCCAGGAAGTAGTGTACAATGTTTACATTCTCCAGTTTCCACAAAAGACCAGCACCCAGGCTTCCAAGGAGCCACATGAAAAAGAACGATAGGGATTTAAAAACTTAAAAAACTTCTCAAAGCACCTTGGAAGAGAAAACAAGAGATGCAATGCTATGCCCAGAAGTACATCCCTTGCTTGGGTAAGTCAAGTTTGGTAAATTCATCTTTTAAAAAGTACTCTGCTATTGGGGAGAGAAGAGAGGTAGAATTACTTCATTTCTAGATAATACTGTAACTTCTGCCCTGATTTTTTACTTAATTCATCTAAAAGTTCTCAGAGGGCTTTGTGCAACTGAAAAACAATTCAAACTCTGCAATTGCCAACCCCCCAAATCCATATTTCCCTACTTTGCAATTCTAAATCTCCAAGGATTTGATTCAACAAGGATTCACAGTGGCACTCCTTGTTTTCATTAAATATAAAAAAAAATGTATGCACACAAGAGGTTTAAGTGGACTACCAAGGTGTATAATTAATTCATCCATAGCAAGCACTAAAGTAAGATGATTTTTTTAAATGAGGATAAATCAGATCATGGAAACACTGCAATCTGACAAGTCACTTAAAACTATACTTTCAAGCTGTGCTTGATACAGACTCAGCTTTTCTTTTTCTTGAAAATGTATCTTGTTCAAATGCAAGACATTTCATGAATGAGCTGAGAGGCGGGAAGAGTGTCAAGTACTTTAGTAGAAAGTTTGATACTCAAAGCAAATACACATATGGAATAAAACAGAAGGGGAATATACACAGTGGTTGTATATGAGTAATTAAGATTACGGATGTTTTTTTTTTATATTCTTAAATTTTTTTTTCGATAATGAATGTTGAGGTCTTAAATAATTAAAATTAAGCCAATTGTTAGTTTTAAAAGAAAACATTGATAAAATCATCACATACCTTCCGACAAGTTTGAACCAATGGAAGCGGTCATAAAAGGGGTCACTGCCAGTCATGGTGCTCTCAGTGTCATCTTGGGCACTGGAGGCCATCTCCCCTGCCCTGTCATACATCTCACGCATCAAGTCCAGTCTCTGCCTAGAGAGACATAAAACGGTGGGTTAGTATCATGATGCAGCATTAAAATTTGCTTTGGAAGCATCTTCTAAGTAAAAAAAAACAAACAAAAGAAACATCTCCCACCATTTAATGCTAAAAGATGAAGCAAGGCAAAAGTGCAGAAACCAAAACATTCAGTATCTAAAGTGTCTGAGCCTTGAACAAGTCAATAAAAGTACAAAAATAGCTACTTTTCCTCTTGAATACAAAGAAAATGGAGTCCAGTGGTGTATGAAATTTCAAATATACTGAAACAGTATAAAAAACAAAAAAGCAAAAATCATCATACTCATCAGATGCAAAGGAAGCTAGACTATGTTTCTTGTTTATCATGAGCTCCTAGACAGAAAGGATGAATAACTAGATTCAAAATAGAAATGGATATTGTGATAGGAGCACTTAAAAGAAAATGGACAGGAAGTACTATTATTGGCCAGAATTAAGCACTTAGGAAATACACAAGCATAGAAGCAACACTGTCCTCAGAGAGGAGAGTTTGAGGGAATTCATTTGAGCAACGCATTTGTAAACATGAATAATATTCTCATACTTGAGTTTCTCCAGAGACCAATAATGGGTGGCTCCATTCTTCAGATCCTGGACCTCTACTGCTACCACTGTCCGAGGGAAGGGTCTGTCTTCGTGCGTTTTCTCCATCTCAGTGGGAAGTAACTCCGGAGGCAATGGGGAGTACAGTGTGTCGGTTAGCAGAACAAACTGAAACTGCACCTAAGTGGAAAATAAACCAAGGAAAGAAGTAAAAACACAGATCATATGCTCAAACAGTTTGTAACAAAATTTTAAGAAGCTACTTGCTCATTAATCACAGGGAATAATCCTAATTTTAAATCATGCTACTTTCAGCCTTTTGTTCCCTAGGTTAGCACAATGTTTTGGCACAGACCAAAATCTTTTTTTTTTTTATCGTTTTATTAGGGGATCCTACAACTCTTATCACAATCCATACATACATCAATTGTGTAAAGCACATTTGTACATTCATTGTCCTCATCATTCTCAAAACATTTGCTCTCCACTTAAGCCCCCCCCATCAGATCCTCATTTTCCCCTCCCAACCTGCTCCCCCGTCCCTCATGAGCCCTTGATAATTTATAATTATTATTTTGTCATATCTTGCCGTGTCCGACAACTCCCTTCACCCACTTTTCTGTTGTCCCTCCCCCAGGGAGATGGTCACATATAGTTCCTTGTAATCGGTTCCCTCGTTCCAACCCACTCTCCCTCTATCCTCCCAGTATCGCCACTCACACCACTGGTCCTGAAGGGATCATCCCTCCTGGATTCCCTGTGTTTCCAGTTCCTATCTGTACCAGTGTACATCCTCTGGTCTAGCCAGACTTGAATGGTAGAATTCGGATCATGATACTGGGGGTGGGGGTGGGGAGGAAACATTTTCATCATTGCTATATCGCACCCTGACTGGCTCGTCTCCTCCCCGAGACCCCTCTGCAAGGGGATCTCCAGTGGCCTACTAATGGGCTTCGGGTCTCCACTCCGCACTACCCCCATCATTCACTATGATAAGATTTTTTGTTCTGATGATGTCTGATACCTGATCCCTTCGACACTTCATGATCCCACAGGCTGGTGTGCTTCTTCCATGTGGGCTTTGTTGCTTCTGAGCTAGATGGCCGCTTATTTACCTTCAAGCCTTTAAGACCCCAGATGCTATACCTTTTGATAGCCGGGCACCATCAGCTTTCTTCACTACATTTGCTTATGCACCCATTTCAGACTAAAATCTTGATCAATATATTCTGCTTGACTTAATTCAGTTTTCATAGAGCTTTTAAGAGGACCGGGTGATGAACCCCAAAATGTACCTCTTGCCAAGAGAATGAGAGAAGATGGAAAAGCCCCAGGGTTTTCCATTCTAATTCCAAAAGATTAGAACTACCCCTTAAAGTGTTTACTCTTTAGTAAGTGCTTGACATACATGAGGACATTAATTTCTCAGCACCACCCTAAATTTTCACCAACAAAGATGAATTAAATGCTGGGTATAGTAAAGGGAGTTAAAAAAAGGAGACACAGTTTCTACTTTCATTTAGTTTATGTAAAGATGGAAATAATTAGCATGTAATTATAAAATGAGAAGGGGTATCAAAATTAAGAATATAGAGCTTCCTAGAGAACAACTGAAATCAGGACGGAGGTTCAAATGCATACAAAAGCGCCTCTGATGACAGTCCTGCTAGGCTTCACAGAGTCACAGCCTGGAGAAGGCTAGGGCGCAGGTCTGCTCTGCACACACCGGGTCACCAGGAGTCTGAATCAATGCGACTACAACAACTGAAGGGGGTAATCCCAGAGTGAGTGGTGAAACTATCACCAAAGGCATCTTGTTGTCATTTTACAAATTTAGTGCATAGAACCCTAGAGAAGATCATGAATTTTCTGGGCTCATAGTACAACAATATCGTCTCTTGCTATAATCTTAGTATTCAAGAGACTATTTCAAAAGAATGAGTCTAAGATTCTGTGTAACATTTGGATAATAATTACCAAAAAAAGTCATTATTTATTGCCTTTTACCATGTCTAGGCATTACCATAGGAGTCTTGGTGGTGCAGTGGTTTAAGTGCGCTCAATTGTTAACTCAACATCTGTTGGTTTAAACCCACCAGCAGCTCCCTGAGAGAAAAGGTCTAGTGATCTGCTCCCATACAGACTGCAGCTTAGGAGAGCCTGTGAGGCAGTTCTACTCCATCTTACGTGGTTGCTATGATACAAAATAGACTTGATGGCACACGATACCATTAGCAGTTACCATCTTAAGTGATTAACATCTACCCACTTTTTATGACTCATCAAACCCCAGGGTAGTAGGAGCTGCCAGCACTCCTATTTCATAGGTGAGGGACAGCTCGAGCTTGGGGGTCTTGGATCAACATATCAGTGAAGCTAGGGTTCGCACTTGATCCCTTTGAGAACTGAGTGTATGTACTTGTCCACTACACCTTTTCAGACCCTGGAAGAGGAGCAAATTCACGGTAAAAGGGTATATCAGACTCAGAGATGTAAACCTGTGGTAGAAAGTGAAAACAGACTTTTCAGGCTACATGATTTTTACTGGTTTCTCCATCACTTGTCAAAAAGTTTCCTTATTTATAAAATAAACTAATATTTGCTATTTTAAATTTTATCTAATAAAAATTTAATTAGTGCCCTGGTGGTGCACTTGGCCCCTAACCAAAAGGTCAGGGGTTTAAACCCACCAGTTGCTCTGCAGGACAAAGCTGAGGTAGTGTACTTCCATTAAGCTTTACAGCCTGGGAAACCCAGTGAGGCGTTCTACTCCATCATACATGGATGCTATGAATCACAACTTGTTAAGTGGCTCCATGGGAGAAAGAAAAACCTGGTAATACACTCCCATAAGGATCATAGCCTATGGTCAGTTGACCTCCCTTTTGACCCAACCTGAATTTGCTCTTGATTTAAATATTTGCTTGCTCCATGACAAATTTTCTCTGGCTTACTTTAATATTGCTGGTGGTCTTTTCTTTCTTACTCTTTAGTTTTATTTTTTATCGTTCTTATTATTTTGTTTCATTTCGTTTTTTCACTGTTTCTGTTAGGCTTCCCAGTCCATGAAGTTCAGAAGGAGTAGAAGCATAGAGACAATAACTGATCCAATAGTTTATCAGGGATTCCAGGGTGGTGGTGGTGGTGATGGGAGGAGAGGGCGGGTAGGGTAAGGGGAGTTGGGGAGCAAATAATGAATGTGAGAGGGTGCACTAGAATTGTGATGATGTATATACAATTCTTTTCAAAAGTGGGTTAACATGAACGTGTATGAAGAATGAGCAAGTGATTGTCACAATGGAAAAAAAATGCCCTGGCACAACGTTCCTGGCTGTTTCCTCGCAGATGCTGTTTTCAATTTTCTTAGAATGTCTTCCTCATAAGCTCCCTGTAGGCCTACGTCTTTTGAGAAAATAGAACAAGATTATCCCTCTGGGATCCAAAGAAACATTTGTCATAACCTTCAGAGCTGACCTCTCTGCCTTGAACTTAACTAACCCAGTAGGTCCTCTCAGAAACCACTGTGTTCTCTGATCCTATTGGTAAATCCAAGATTCATCCCAGATACACGTCCTTCTATACAATCACTTCATTAGCTCCAATTTTGCTTAAAAGACTGATGAAAAAAAATCAGCTCTCTGATCTAGCTCATCTTTGTGCAACACTTTTTGTGCCCCTTGAGCTAAAAGCTTGCTAAGGCCGAGCTGTTGGCTTAAAATTGAGCATGCCAAGCCATGTGTGGTCCCAGCTTCAGCAGGTCCACACCAGAGGCAACTCCGCACTCTTCTTCCACCAGCTTTTGGCGTGTAGTAAGTTTCTTTACTCATTGAGGCTGACAGTCTTCCCTCCCTTGGTTCATCTTTGAGGTCTTCCCGGCCTTCCTCAAAACCCTTGATCCATTTTTAAAGTGTTGTAAAAATGCTTAATCCTTTCCCCACGTCCTCCCCTGTTGTCTACCATGTGCATCCCTGCATTTGATCTGGTCCCTTCCATATTACCTGGTCCTTACCTCAAGAATGTTTGTATATAGTAGCTTTA